TATTAAAGATATTAGGGTAGGTATACCCATTCCCTTTTGCATATGGACCTCTGGTTCATGAATCTGGCTAAAACCCTTCCCCCCCACTCCCCCCCACAGATACTGTGCATATGATTTTACAAATAATAATTTTAGAACAGTTTACAAGTATTTCCCAAGCATAAAGAAACTAAATTTAAATTTTTGGGGGAATTCTCTGCCTGCCCCTATGGTCACAGTAGCAGCTGCACTTTTAATCTCCAATTCTGCAAATATTTATAAAAGCAATTTTACCGACTAAGCAGTCCATCCACTTTTCATTTTTATTAAGATTTCTCATCTGAGTGAAGTTACATTTATGTTCATGTTTGCAAGAGTAGGTAATGAATGCCATCTCTCTGATTTTATCTCCAAGCCGGCAGGGGAAAAAAAATAGACAGAGATCCATTCACAGAGTTTTTTAACATAAGAAGGTATTTCCAAATCCTTAACTCCATTTTCTTCCATGCATTTGCGTCTATGCAGTCTCACAAGCAGCAAACAAACAAAAAGAATATAGGCCAGAAGAGGTAATATCACTGTTTCTGAAGAGCACTCTGCATATAGAGAACTTCCTCACTTTTTAACATGCTGCACAGGGCGACTGAGCCTCATTTCCTATAACGTTCTGGGCTCTAGCTTGAAATTATCCTTCACATCTTGAACTTTTTACCTGGTGCAACAATTCATACTACCATAGGTCAAACAAGCACACCAAGATAGTCAAATTAGCATATACAATTTGGGTTGTGGGTTTTTTCCCCTGCAATGCAAGGAGAGGATCTAAATCTGACTTCTCAAGCTGTTCGTTCTCTGAAACAGGCTCCTCTCCCTGCATGAACCCTGGTGTTTTCAGTGGAGTCTGGCTAGCAACAAGCACTGGGCCAGCAGGTTACGTTTGCAATAAGGGATAACATCCAGTGCATTTCCAGATAAGGCAATTCCAGTCAGTCCTCCATTTTCCTTTTGATAAAAATTGTAATAGGGTTAATGTTTTGCAGGATAAAGGTAAACATGTTTGAAGAAATATCTATGAGCCTTGGGTTGGCTCAACTATGCTCAGAAATGGAGGCAAGTTGTTGCCCCACATCTTCACCGTCTCGGTCTTCCCCTTAGACTGAGAGGCTGCACTGTGGCAAGCAGCCAGGTGCAGGCACTAAATGGGCATGACAGGGCCAGAGGAAGAGAAGAGCCCCAATACTACTGAGGGCCTGAGGAGCGAGACAGCAACTGCTGTTTCCAAAAGTGAGCCAGTTCCATAATAACATCTCTCCGTGGCAGTCACCTCACCCAGCTCCCCAGAGCTCAGGGACAGACCGAGTATGGAGCATGTCCATAGGGGCCTTGCCACAGCTGACAGTCTCCTACCCCAGGCAGACCTACTTTGCCAATACTAATGCCAACCCTATGAATGTGTTTTACTTTTTTTTTCCCTCCTTTGAATATTGTATCCCTTGAAAGTTTCTCAGGATGGGATTCCAGAGCTTAAAGGCCCCTTGAAAGAAAAGGAAGAAATCCAGGGTCACTTTCCTGGACTACAATGGCGGATTTCTGTCTCTGCCCAGCACTGTGCAGTATTTATTTCATCTTCTGGCTTTCTTATGCTTTGCTCTAAAATAACAAGAGTTTCTTGATTGGCAAGAGCACTGATCAGCCCAGTAATAATCCGCTTACACGCTTCACCGATGAAACACAGCTAGGCTATAGCGGGCTTGTGCTGCGCATCGTTACAATACCCATTGGGGATTAGGACGATTACAGCAGTGATCAAGGTCATGGAAAGGATTTTGGCCTGACCATGCTTTTCCTGCTGACACACTATCTGTGGCAGCCATTTCCCTAGTCAGGTTAATGAAACCCCCTTTCATTTGTGTTTTCTTCTTTAAGATGACAACTGCTATAAAAAAAGATAACCTCTCTGACCTCGGCCATCATCTCTCACTGTGGTTTTTTCATCCCTGAATCTGTTAATTGAAACTACAGAGCCACAAGAGCAGCACTCTACATAGTTTAGTTCCTAATCATGTGAAGCCAGCATCCCAGTGAGGAATTTATGTATAACACTAATTATGACTGACATTGCCTGTTAGGGTGGGAGATAAAAATCACATCACAGTGTAGCTGGAATGGTCTTGCAACCTCTCTACAGCTGTCTTAATGTTTCTACACAAATAGCTTGACCTTTAGAAAAGCAAGAGAGGAGGAAAAGCAGGAGATGTTTTGAGCTTTAAATGATTCCCATTTGTAACTCTATGAATGGCACATTTGGTCCAATTTCCAGTCTCTGGCATTTCTAAACTGTCATGTTACAAACAGGCAGCAGGCTATAAACTTCCCCCCCAGAGGGAAGGAAGGCAATCAAGTAGGTACCCCAGCCAGCAAGTCTGCGATGCTGCCGTGTGAGAAACCCAGCACCTACAGACCATGCAGCAGCAGTTCCATGGGGTTAATGGGGTTACAGCACAGGCCCATTAGCAGCACGGTAAATACATCACGCTGGTTCCTTGTTGCTGTATCTAGATTGATGATACTGCTGCAAAGTGATTCTAGAGAGGGTATAAAGGTGTCAGAGAACTGGGACTCAGTTCCTTTTACCCACTCTGCATTGCTCTTAATTCACACAGGTACTGGACAAGGCAGCTCCAAGACTAGTATTTCTTCCTGTCATTCTCAAATGCAATAAAAGGGACTGGGAAGACAAAAAAAGGGAAAGAATCAATGTGGAAAGAAAATTGAGGCTTTGACTGAAAGCCACATGAAGAGTTTGTCACCCTGCAAGTCTCGCCTTTTGCCAGCATCACTAGGAGCGGCTATTGTTACTCCAGTTCATATGCTGAATTTAAGGGGTAATCACCAGTGATAGCCAGCCACTTTAGAATGTAAATAAGTAGCACAAGTGGAGGTTTTGTTAGAGATTAGTTACTGTTTAGGAACCAGATCTGATGGTTTGCCACGGATTTGAATTTACTCCTGTTCCACACATAGCTTCTCCCTGATCCAAGAAGTATTGAACATTGACCTACAAGTGGGTTCACGCAGAATAAAGACATCTGACTTGGGGGGTGGGAGGGGGAGAAATTCAGTCTGAGGCCTTATATCATCTCCTAAAAACAGGAGACTGTCAACTGGTGTTACCACACAAGGGGTTAAATAGGGAAGGACAAGGGTGATCAACATCAAGAAACAAAGACCTCCTGTTTCAGGCAGGTGCTCTACAGCTCCTTCAGCTTGTTTCCATGTTTTTCTATAACTTTCAATGCAAATACATTGCTTGCTTTGTTTGCATAATCTTAGCTTCATTGATTTCCATGTACTAGAAAAAGTTGAGGGAACAATTTAAATACATTGAGCAAATCATATAAACTGCATGCCTAAAATGCTATTGAAGCAAAAAATATGTCATGGATTTGCTAAATTGGGGCTCCCATCAAGCTCAAATGAAAAATTTTCTTCTCATGGCTTTTGCCATACTGATTTCAATAAGAGCAGGTTAGGAATTGACATATTCAGATTTTTCAGCATCTGATTGTGATGACTTAGAGAGTAGCCTTGATAAAGTTTGCATTCTAGCTCCCATTTGGCACCTTACAGCACACACAAGCTACAGCAGTGCCCTTATCATGAACTTCGGGACTGGAAGAGATACAAGACTGTCATCACACCCAGCAACCGGGAAGATGCATGCTGCATGAAGGTACCTTCTCCATCCAACCATTAAACCTTTCTGCGGGAAAAAAAAAAATATCCTTCAGAGGGTGCAAAAGAATAAGCCTTTGGATGGACAGCTCTGCTGAAGATTATTTTAGTGATGCTAGGCAGGTACACACTGTATAACAAGTGTCGATAAGAAGGTTTGCTTTTTGAAATGTTCACATTAGTCACTGCTCCTAGCAGCATCCACCATTCTCAGCGCAACTGTGGAATCTCCCCTTTTATCACCCCTGTCTTCACACCGGGCATAGGCAGGATCTGAACTCAGTCTCACATTCACAACAAACTACTTACTGGTAGGCAGAGTGAAAAAATGAAAAGTTCTGCGGATTTCCAATTTTGTTAGACAGCTACACAAACATTTGCAGTTATTTAACATTTACAGGAGTGGGTGGGACTGTGCATTAAAACTTTAATTTCTCTCTCTACTTGTCGACATGGTTTTAATCTTGAAATTGCAAGCTGCATGAATATATGCTTTAACTGGATTGCTGAACACGAAATCTGAGGAACCGTGACAGCAGCAGGAGTTTACATTCCTGCATATAATCTAGTTATGGTATGCTCCATGCATCACGTGTCTGTAACCAGTGCTAAGATTTCATGGCAAAGCAAATGAGTTCAATCTGATACATTTGGAAACATCCAGAACCACAGAGAACGGGGGATTCTTCCTCAAAAGCCATTGTGAGCGCAGGGGTGCCAACGGTAGGAAGTATACTTAAGTTTTGCCAGTTCAACTAGCAGCTGAATGGTGGGAAAATAGGTTAAGTGTGGTGGAGAGAGAATACCCACACGTGCCAAGATGTTTTGCTACACCTCTGGCAGCAGCTTGAATTTTTATCTCTAGTTCTGTAAGGTAAAAACACAATCTCTCCGCTGTCTTGTTTGCAGAACAGGTGGTGAACAGTCACCTCCAAGGGAGCAGTATGAAACCTGTATCCATAGATGCTGCTCTGAGGGGAAAGGAGTTATTAAATCAATGGTCAGAGGGACAGGGAGAACTTAGATTTACGGTCTCGGTTTAGTGACCTTCCTGGGAAACAGGACACTCATTTACACCCCTAAGAGTAATTAGGAACTTTCTACAGAAGTTATTACAATAGCTTCAAAATAGTTTTAATAGGGAGAACTGGTAGCATTATCTCTACATCACTTCTACTAATCAAAGAGCCCCAGAGGCAGAAAAGCTCCAGTCTCCCTCCCTGGGCTGTGTGCACACAGCTGTGTGCATGGTGCTGCTCCCGGCTAGCGCAGCCTCCTGGGGCACAATGTGGCATACCCTCACTGTTGAGCAAGCGTACCTGGCTCCAGGCCTGGAGGAGCTCCTACAAGATGCCCAGCCAGAGATCTTGAAGCATGTAACACAAGAGTGCCAGTACAGTTGGTAACTCTCCCAGCCATAATTGAGAGCCTGGAGTAAAATTTCAGTGGGCAAGCGGTACAGAACCTTAAGAGGAACATGGCATAGTACAGACTGTGTGCTGTGCCAGCACTCGCTGCCCTTTCTGCAGAAGGAAGGTACCTTCCATTGTCACCAGCAAGCCAGATTTGAAGAGGAGAAGCTACAGCAACGATCTGTCAGGTGGCAGCTAGTGACTGAAGTCATTATTCTCACAGGAGCTGAAGACTCTAATAACTGCATACAGTGCATCGTGGCTGCAGACACCTGACTCCCATCTGTGTGCCCAGCCAGCCCACGCAGTGTCTGGGTTGTCGGAAGAGCTTTAGTCAGTTGCTTGTATTCCTTGCCACGTGCAGATGAGAAGCCTGCTATGTACCCACCATCCAAACAGGCACCTTCGACACGCCCCCCAGACGGAGACCAGCTGCTGTGCATAAACTGGACTGTTGTCCTCAAGTGCAACACCCCAGTTGCCATGTACAAGAGCAATTCATATGTTTCTCTGTTGTGCTAGCTAAGTTTCTGTATTCCACCAGGCTGAGCACTGCAGGCAGGAACAATGAGCTGACAAGTACCTGCAAGATGCCTCTCCTGTAAGTATCCTACCTTTCTGCAGCACCACACTGTGCTCAAGTCAGCGGCACTTGGAGACTGAACTAAAGTCAGGCTTCTTTCCTTCCTGCTTTCCTGACCTTACACGTGCAAAATCTGCTCCCAGTTCCTTTGAGGCTGCTGGAAGCTTCCAGGAATCAGCGATTCCTCTGACACAGATCTCACTAGATAGAGTCATGGACAAACATAGGGTAATATCTAGAGACTGGCAAACTATTTCCAGTAAAGTATCAAGTGGCAACATTTACATGTTAGAAGAAGGAATGTTTCACATGCTGAGAGGAGCAAACTTTTTTGCGCACAAATTGGCATTAAACAGCTTCTCAGTTGAAACACTACAAATGTGCTTATTTAAAACATATTAAAATGCATGAGAAAGTAGCATTTAAAAAAATAGTCATCAAGAACAGTTGAAGCATTTGCCCACTACAGAAAAGGCAGGCAAAGGAAAAAGATGGCTGAAATCAGTAAGCAAAAAAAACGAGCAAAAACTATATGAAACTGCAGCCACCTTTTTATAGTTCCCATCAGCATAAGACCTATGGTTCTTTAAGACAAAGGGTCATCCTTCTTTGATTGCTTTACCCCCAAAGTACTCTTTGGCTGCTCAATTTTAGCTAAGGCAATTAGACTTTCTGAATGCATTCTTTTTCCCCATTGTGGGGGAAGTTTAAACCCCTTAAAATCTTGCTAAAGCCTTTTATATGAGAAAGGCAGTCTCATAAGCCTGCTTGAACTTAGGCCCAGCTGAGCGTTTAAATTCAATAAAGAATTATTTGGAATTTGTACTAAAGAGAAAAGGAAGCAAGGCTTTCAAAGAAAGTAAGTTCAGAAGTTCACACTTTAAGAAAACTAGAAGTAGTATGTCTGTGCATGGGTAAAATCCGTCTCTACAAGACTGATTTTAAAAAAACTCTAGGAGACTGATTTTAAAAAACCCCATCCCTAAACGAAAGGGGAGACACATAAAGATATGTAGTAGAATTGTTTAAAAAAAGGTTCAGAGTGAAGTGTTCCTGGTACATCTATCAAAAAGCAAAAATAAAAATGAAGGCGTAATTACACAGTCATTCCAACGGGGAAGGAAGAAGTGGAGGGAACAGAGGGAATGCTCACTAAACAAGTGACAATCAGCAGGTATCCGTCTATTTGGCTAAAGCATCACAGTGTGCCAGAGGCACAGCTGGTACGCTTTGCGTTGTAGTGTCTGGTTTTGCCTTTTACTTCAGTTTCCTCAAAAGCGGTATGGAAGAGAGGATTTTTTCCTTCTCGTGGTGCTGGCAGACTTTAAACCATCTGACTGGTATCAGCTATCTCCACAAAAGAGAAGATAAGCACCCAAGACTCTGAAAATGCGCTCCTTTGGAAATACGCCTCTCTCAGCACCTGTTAGCCTTATCCAAACTCTTTTCTGTAGGGAAAGTCGCACATACTAGAATTTAGGCCTGCAGGAACCACGCTCAGACCAAAGGGCTTTATGTTAGCATGAAGTGCTATCCGTACTTGGGATGTGTTGGGAACAATATCCACAGCAGGTGGCAGAAAAATAGCTCCTTGGAAGTGACAGAAGACACTGATTACTTTCAGTTTAAAGTTGAAAATACACAAATTTGCATGGTGTTGCATGTCACTGGTCAACTCCTCCATGTCATTAGTCCTTCCACTGACTTCAAAGCAGAACAAATTTCTTTCATGGAGAAGCATGCTTTCATCAGTGCCATAGTGACGAGGACTAATCCCTCCTTCCCCCTCCCATCCTGCCATTCCCCACTGAACGGGAAACTAAATCTCAAATCAGCTTTCCCTTTTTCTTGCACAGGTGCTCAAGAAAGGCCTTGAAGAATAGCTGTTTAGGAAACAGCGGGAGAGAGCAGCCTTTGAAAACATGGAAGAACCCTACTGTGAGTGTCTTTCTTGATGGATCAAGAGCTGTATTTACAATAAGGAAATTAAAATAATCCTGCAAAATAAAATGCTCATTTTCAGTACCTCACCTCTTGGTCACTTAAGTGGTGAGGAACTTAAATAACTGTATGTATGCTACAGTATAATTAACAACTCCATTACACTTACTACACAACTTCTGCATGTAGCTTAGAGAATCAATTCAAGGATAAAGTCTTCCCTACAGCGTTCAAAACCTGGTGGCCCAAAAAGCAAGTTTTGAGCAAAACAGTAATTTGCTATCTGCATGCATTCATATATGAGGCCACTTAAAATGATTTTACTAAGCTTAACAGACAGCAAGATTGGTTATTGAATCAGATGTCCCTCTTCTGACTTTAGCCCATTAGGAAATCCATTTTTCTTCTCAGCCGATAGCGGAGAAGGGGGAAGAGAAACATAAAAGCAACAGTCTCATACTTCTTCAAAAGCATTCAGAAGAATGGGGGTGCAGGAAAATAGTTAGCCTGTTAAGGCTGTCCAAAGCAACAAAAAAATAATAATCTTCCCCATCTGTACATACGAATACTGCGTTTAACAATTGAAACAACTTCCTGGTAGTTTTGGCCTGAGCTGGCAATTACTAGAAGCCAGTATTTCTCTTTTATTTAAATTTTATCTTTTAGAGGCAGGTTAGTTCAGTTCCAGTGTCACCACCTCTGCTTTTACAAAATGCTGAAGATTATTTTATATGAAAAGCTTATTGCATTGAGATTACACCCCACATCATTTCATAAGCAAACAAGAGAAACAGGGACTGGAAACAGCACGGAAAGGACAAAGTTTGTATTGGCTCGTACATGTGCTTCAGGTTTGATAGCAGTTTCTCCTGGAACTGTATTTGGATGTGTCACCACCTCTGCTTTTACAAAATGCTGAAGATTATTTTATATGAAAAGCTTATTGCATTGAGATTACACCCCACATCATTTCATAAGCAAACAAGAGAAACAGGGACTGGAAACAGCACGGAAAGGACAAAGTTTGTATTGGCTCGTACATGTGCTTCAGGTTTGATAGCAGTTTCTCCTGGAACTGTATTTGGATGTATTTCAGGCTTGAAATTACAACTTTAGCTATTTACTTCGTATAGCTATAACATACTCTCAGAAAGTAATTAAATATTAAGGAATAGAAATGACTATTCCAGCACTCAGGTCCCCCCCCCTTAATTCTTACAGCAAGGCCTTCTAGGCATATTTCTACAGAATTTAGCCAATTAATACCTCAGGTTCGCAAATAAATTTGATACAGAAAGAACCATTGCTAAGCAAATGCTAGGCAGAGAGTAGTTTGACAGGAAACGTGTTTGTAGATTAGATCAGGAACAAGGGGACGTGGAGATCTGAAAGAATCAGTATTTGGGCTTGAGACAGGCTAGTTCGGACCATATATTTAGTTGTGCTTTTGCTTGGACCTAAGATAAACATTACATGTCAAGTTTGGAAAAATGCACTTAGCTTTTAATAATATCTCTCTTTTTCCTTATTAATTTCTTGAAATACAGGCACCTATACATGTACTTTACCAAATCTGCCACTTAAGTTTTACTCACAGGTAGATCAGTTAAAGGTTTACCATCTATTTTTTTGCTGACAATTGCATCAATAGAGTAATTGCACATAGGCAGGAGTATACTGGCCTCATTTATTTCACTTTTCCAAATACAGTAAGTTGTCATGGTATAACTGTGGCCACAGTGAGGGATAAATGAGGGAAGATTACAGTTAAAGGCTCACTGCTTTAAGTACAATACTACTTCTCTTAATAGTAGGTAAAGATTTAGGAGATTTCCAAGCTTCATCAGCTAGTAGTAGGAACTACATGAGGGAATATTTCTATCATTTACCAACATTTCAAAGTATTAGGCCAAGAAAGTATTATGAATACTTTTTTATTTAGCTCTTGAAAGACTTGTGTTTTTAGTAACAGAACAGGTATTAATAAATGAATGATATTGCTTGAATACACATCGCAATGTAATCTGCTATTAAAAGTTTGGCTCTCCTTTTTGCCCCTTCCCCAGCTTAAAAAGAAAAGGAAGAGAAAAGGAAACCTATAATGGCGTTTGTCCCACTGAGGGAAGTATAACAAAGTTACATTGTCCTTTATATATAAAGATTTTAGATAGGGCTAGAAGTGCTCCAGGCCAGCTCTGACAGATATGGTAAACACAATTTCAGACTTCGTATGAAGAGAAAAGGCAGAATAATGTGTTCTTAAAAAATAATGCAGAAGAATGGTGACATAAAGGACTGAACTGAACACTGAAGGAATAATTCATTTGTTTAGTGTCAGACCATCAGATAATTTTGACTATTTGCAGTCGCATTTTTAAAGGTCGTGAGGTGGGGTTTTTTACCTTTGTGCTGTCTTACTTCTCTTTTTCTAGTCCAATAAAAAAACACAAAATTGTTCATAAGTGCTGTGCAGCAGGAATATGTAGTAGACGTCCCAGTTCCTGCCGCTGGCTCATGTGTCTAACTCATCCTAATAGCTGACGGCATTTATGTAGAAGGAGCCATGTGGGAGAGCCTTCCCCATCTCCATTTACTTTGGGTAGTGCTTTACAAGAACACAGTTCAGGAAAATAGCTCATCCTCTGCAAGCAGCCACTCCACAGTGGAAAACGCAGCAGCACAAACTGAACAGCAGAAGATGAGGAAATAAGATCCAGAGAATACCTGTTTTCATGGTTTATTTTCTGCTACCTCTTATCTGCTTGGAATAGGGCAAAGACATCTCTTACTTTTACAGCTACCTGACTTAGTGGAGCTTGGTGCAAATTTAACCATAGAGCTCATATTAATTCATACCACACCATATTCATAATTCATATGGAGTTATAATAAAGATATGAATTATAATATACAGATTAATATATTATGTGTTATATATTATAATAATTCATAGCATAATTTATGCCATAACCATAGATTTCATATTAATTTCATATAAAAACCTGAATATCCCTGGGATTTTTTAATTAAAAAATACTATTCTGAGAACCCAGATACCCAGCATATGTTTAGGTACTTAATTCCTATTGAATTCAGTGGTGTGGGATTTAAGCATTTTCATATTCCAGGGACTCTTGACAACAGTCATCACCCAATGAATCTCTAGAGACTTCAGGGAGGGCAGATACAAAGGAAGCAAATACTCAGGAGGCCTGTATCTCTGTAGGAGATACAGTTTCCATAAGCATCAGGCATGGAGAAAGATTTGTTAGTCTGGATAATGATCATACTATATCTAAAATATCACACAATTAGTTGCCCCAAATTCATAAGCTAAGAAGTGATTTTTTTTCTTCTGACAGCATCCCACATTTCACTGCTGTTCAAAGTTGCTAGGTAACTCCATTCTCCATATTTATTATGGGTTTGTTGTCGCAGATTATCTGCCAGGGACCTGGCACACAGGAATTCTCTCCCTTGCATGCTCCAGTGACCTACCGATGAGTTACTTTTGCCACAATTATAAAGGCATTTACATTCATACACACTTCTTTCCTAAAGAGTAGAGCACAACCGACGATGCAGGATCCGGAGGGTGGAACCCGTGGGTGACACAGAAGTGTCGGCTTGCTCCACCAAGGTACACCAATTCCCACACCAAGCATTTCCAAGATCAGTTGTAAGCACAAAAGTAACAAGTGTACACACTTGCAGCCAGAGAAAAGCTCAATTATTTCCCAGAATTCATCTAACTGCATAGCAAATAAGTTTCCGCAGGGTGATATTTCAAAACAATCATGTCAACAGTGAGACTTAATTCCCTTTGCACACTGAGCAGCTTCAAGACCCTGAGAGGGGAACATATGAGAAGTCTCATTTTTAGCCACGTAGATCAGCAGTTCTTCACAGCAGGAGCGGAGTGGCATTTTATAGCTTTCAGGTCAGTCAGTGAAGCAAGACCTCTTTCGCCTAAATTCACCATAGGATTCAGAATCCAAACACGTTCGGTGTTCGCTAGCGGCCAGGCGTCTGCCATCACAGCAGCATCGATACCTGGGCTTTCTATACCGTCTGCAGATCCAGTACCAAGAACGCAGTACCGAACAGGTAGCCCACTGAAAGCAGAGGCTCTCATATACCTGAGAGGCAATGTTGGAGACTGTACCTTGACCTAGCCCCAACCCAGGAGGTACCTAGAAAAAAGGTACTGCTTGTTCCAGTGGTAATATAGAGGAAAAATAATTAAAAAACCAATCTATGCAGAATTTGAGTGCCCAAATTCTTGGGGGGGGGGGAGGGGAAGAGGGAGGGGACTTACCCAATATAGTCTTGTGCACTGAACTAGCAGGGGAAGGCAACCAAGGCCAAGTTCTTTGCCTCAGAAGAGATAACAAAGGGGAGTTTCAACCCTGTCTAGGTGCTTTTGCTACCTAGCCATGAGCAGCACTCCTTACATCACCCCGGGTAGGTAAGACCTGTGCTGCAATTCTTATTACTCATCTGAGTGCCCTAAGCATGGAAGTAAATTATAATTTTCACTCTCTTGTGCACAAAATGAATATTAGTAGATTCCAAGCCCTGTTTTCCCATAAATATCCCATTTCCTGCAAATTAGTGCTCTTTCCTGTTAGTTGGAAGCTTCAGATGCTTTCTGGCAGAAGAGAAAATTTAATCTAGATCTTTCCGTATTCTAGGTGCGTGATCTAACTGCTGGTTTCCAGTTTCGGATAAGGCCGTCCCTGTTCCTGGTCCACTGAAGCACTTCATATTAAGTGACTTCACCCATGTGCTACTTTCACTCTGCTTCTGTTGCTCCCCTCAAACCTGGAAACTCTTAAGCAAATACTTCTAATTTTAGTCATATTACACTAACAAGCCTGATTCAATACCAGAACTCCTCTAGCAGAGGACAGCAGAGCGAGAGCTTTACCCTGAAGACAGGCAAATTAAACCGCTATCTCCATCGTACAGACGAAGCAGCAGAGGGGGGAGATTAG